TTCTGTTCAGTTTATAGTTTTATTTACTATTTGCGTCTCAGGTGCATTGTGGGTAAATCTCCATCTAAATAAAAAAAATATGCAACATTCAGTTATTGTCCAGTTAGTTTACCATCATAATGTCAAAAACAGCTAATGTGCTTTTTCTTTTTAATTTGTTCATCTATTTTTATCAGATATTTTTCACAACGCAGTAAATGAGATGACATAAATGAGCAGTCAGTGTCTTACCTGTAGTAAAATAACTAARATATTGTTGTCAGTTTGGAGAAATCTTGATGTAACTATTTGATGTAATTTGCTGTTTGTTTTTTGCTCCATCAGTACTGCAGCTGTTAGTAGTCTTAAGTTGATTGAGTCTATTTGTTCTGGACTTGTATGACCKATCGCAGCCTGCTCTCTGTAAACAGATCTTGTTGTTTTTGAACTCAGTAGTGTCAGGTTTGACGTACTTAAATGTTTTGACTTCTGTAACAAACATGCTGTATGCTGATGTCCCCCATCTGAGGGATCTGAAGAGTTAATGTTTGTAGTTTTTCAGTTGAGCATTTTTCTGGGATTGAACAGAGAATGTGAGTAAACCTTAATAATGTTTGCTGTAAGACATTCAGATAGGAGCTCAAGTGTGTAGAAGAACACAGTGTTACTCAGCAGAGTGACAGATCCTGGAAAGCAGAGGGAGCTGTTTTATATACCACCTGGTGCAGTGGAGTGAGGAGTCAAGAGGTGGTCACTGGTGGCCATAGACTTTAGCCACCCACTGCCCCCACCCCATCATTTGAGGAAACTATWCTTTTAAGAAACACAAAAATCTAGAAAGTAAAGATGGGACGAATGAATCTTTTGAGGAGATGTGGATCCTGAAAAACTGTTCAGTTTTGAATGAGAAATATGTCATCATATACGTGATGAGGTCACTGCATCATGTGAGCGGAACCCGCTCCCCCTTTCCCCCTGATCTGCTGTATTCCACCTGTCTGCCTGTTTTCTATGTAAAAAGTGAAGGAGGAGTGATTGTCTCTGTGGTTAAGGAGTAAAAAAATAAAAGAAAACTACGAAGCACTCTACACCTGCAACTTGGTTCTTATTGTTAGTTGTAAGGAGCCATTCAGTTCTCAAACGTCACATCTCTACTAGAAGGCACMGTTTCTTCAAACGATCAGGGTGGTCTGGTAGCATATATACAGTACATGGTGGTGGCCATCTTGGATTTTGATGTGGCAATCCAATTTTCAACAGTGACCTGTCTTATGCCTGGAAGCAGCCACACGCCCCCTCTGTTCCACCAAGTGGGACAATTTTAATGCAGCACAGCTGTCGTGCTTTTCTTTCCTGTTTTTTTTTTTTGGGCCCATAGTCACAAAACTATAGCAATTCTAAAACAATCTTTAAGTTGCTGAAATACTTGTTGCTCTTTATTTCAGGTGAAAATTTGGTTTCAGAACCGTCGCTCCAAGTTCAAGAAGCTYTACAAGAATGGAGAGTTTCCACTGGGGGAAATAGCCGGTGAAGACAGTCCAGATGCCAGTGATTCTATGGCCTGCAACTCCCCCCCGTCTCCAGCTGTCTGGGAAAACAACACAAACAACAACAACATCAGCAGCATCAGCAACACAAACAGCAGCAATAAGAATAATGCAATACTGGATCCTGCCAGCAGGGAACAGGGCCTCTATCAGCCTCCGGTCAGCTCCTCTCCTGCTTACATGGATGAGTTTACGCACCAGAACTGGTACCATCAGCAGCATTTAGGCTTACCACAGTCAGACCAGATGCACCACGCAGCAGCACCATCAGACGCTCAGAGCATGCGGGCCATCTATTGATCCAGGAAAGTCCACTCTCATAAAAAAAAATTATATTTTTTTTGGATTGAGCCCTGAGCCAAAGCACAGAAAGGATTTTGGCTGTACTGTGACCAAAACACAAACACAAAGTGTAGAAACTAAAACCTGGACTGATCCGAAGTGTCTCTGTTTCCACTGTTCCAAGCTGAACTGCTTGTGGAGATTACGTGAATTAAATAGCTTCTCAGTGCTGAGATGGATTTATGATTATAGACAATATTTTTTGTATATTTTTACTGTTTGAAAGTTTTCTTATTTATGCTTTAAAGTTATTTCAATTATTCCCACAAACTTTATTCTGGAAAAAGCCTTTAATCCTGATTTTCTTTTTCTACTCAAGTAAAATACTACTGAAAGTCCCTGCTGGATTTTGAAGTATTTATTTCCGTGTTCACTCAAGAAAAACTCATTTTCAGCTGGGCTTAAACTAGATTGTTATTATTACTGGATGCTAGTTTTGTGTTTCCAGCTGACAGACAGTAGACATGAAGTCCAGGGTAGCACCTCAGGGAGCAGTCCTTAGTCTGTGTGACTTGATTTGATTTGATTTGATGTATTTATTTAACAGGAAAAGATTA